AGGGAAAAAGAAATTGTATACCTCAAAATCTATGTGCCCTCTTTAGATAGGTCTTAGTAGGTATAACATGTTGAAACATCGTATTTTAAGTAAAGCTGGGATTATTTATAAAACAGTTCAGAAACGTCATTTACACTGCTGTCTGTTTTCTGTGTCTGTCCTTGAGTGCAGTGCCAAGCACATAATTGGTGTCTAATAAATATTTGTTGAATGAATGTATAAACATGTCTTCAGTATATTTTAAATGAATGATCACAGAGCTTAGTTTAACATGTGGCCTATTTTTCTTTTCTCACTGATTTTCTCTAAGAGGGCAGGAAAAGAAAGACATGAATTCACTAGTAAGTCAATCCTCTTGGAGACTCAAAGGACTGTGTTGTGCTCACCATATAGAAAAACAGAAGGACATTTGTAACACTCTGGAAATATAGTAGATGGGCTTATATGGTCATTGGTTTGTGTATCTCTCTCTCTCCCATGTTATGCTCCCTTCTCTTTTTCTAAGCAACCAGTCTTTTTTTTTTTTTTTTTTGAGAGATTTTCGCTATAGGGCATGTGCGCTCGCCAGACAGACAGAGACATAGAGACAGAAAGCGAGAACTCACCCCCCCAGGGGGAATGGTCACGTCGCAATCCCTTCTTCTCCATTCTCCTCTCGGGATCTTGGGCACGCACGCACATGCACCCGGCGTGAGTTTTAAGCCACCGGGTCCAGGACGCGAACCGCGGTCGACTACGTGGGAGTCCAGCGACATAGCCATTACGCTAACTGCTGGTTCCCTGCAACCAGTCTTTTGAAAAAGAACATTTCTACCTTCACTTTGTCACCTACCACTTGCTGAACTAAAACCTGGCATTTGGCTCCATAGTTTTTTTATTTATTTTATTTTTTTTATTACAAGGCATGTGCACTTGCCAGAGAGTCAGAGAAGGGAAAGTGAGAAATCATCCCCCAAGGGGGATGCCCATGCCACCATCCCTTCTCTTCCATTCTCCTCTTGGGATTTTGGACACACAGGCACACACACACTCAGCATGATTTTCAATCTTGCCAGGTGTGGGACTCAAACTGCAGTCGGCCGTGTGAGTGTCCAGCACCTTAACCACAATGCCTGCTGCTGGTCCTGGGTCGATTGTTCTCAATAGCCCCTTCCTGTGAAGTACAAAATTCTAAATTCATAGCTTAATTCACAAGCCATTTTTTTAGTCCGATTTTTTTCTGCATTTGACACTGTTGACAAGCCCTTCTTTAAGAAGTTCTGTTCTCTTGGCTCCTTACATGTTCTTATATTATATCCCTGAACCCTCCTTTTTGGCCTCCTTATTTATTGCTTAAATGTTATTCCTCAAGTTTTCATTCTTACTCTTTTAATGACTACACCACTTCTCACTCTTGGACAGTTTGAATTCAATTGTTAAATCTTAATCTTTATCCCAACTTCTCAGTCTGCCTGCCTTCTGCACTTTACCTGGTTCTCACAGACACCTGTGTGTGTCGTAAAACAGTCACTCTTCAAAACCTACCCTTACGCCTGTGTTCCTTACCTTGGTTAACTTCAGAGCCGTTATCCAAGTGTTTGTTCCTCTGCTTCACCTACCCATGATCCACTAATGTCTTCAGTCCTGTTTGTATCTACACCTCTCTGAGAACACCACCATTTCCATTTTCACAGCTCTTACCTGAAGTCCTGCACTAGCCTGTCCCCTATACTTGGCCTGTCTCCTCGCTGTTGCTCCACTGCTGTGTGACCAGGTAGGACTTCTGGAAATACTCGGATGTTACTCCCTGCTTAACACATTTCAGTGACTTTATAAACTTTCAGAAGTAAGCCCAACTCCTTTGCTTGGTGCGTAAGATCTCCCGATATGTCTCCTAAACCCAGTGTTCTCATAAAACAGACCTTTAGTTCTTCAGATGCTCCAAACAGCCAGGCCTCCACACCTGGGTGAATGCTGTACTCAGGACAAATACCTTCGCCATCCTTTCCCACCTGGAGTTCCTGTACATCCGTGTGGGCCCAGCATAAGCACGTCCTCTGTAACATCGCTCTGGTTCCATTTACAGTGTGTCCTCTCACGTCCTCTTCTGTGTCATCGCTGCAGTTACAGCCTACCTCTATTGTATCACTTACTGTACTCTTGTTTTTGTTTCAAGTCTAGTATTAGAATGTGAGCTCCTTAGGGGCAGGAAAAGGAAACTATTCATTTTTGGATCTCCATAGCCTAGCTTTTGGCATATGAACATTAAATCACTTTAAATAAATGTTTGTTGAATAAATTGTTTCTCTTTTTAATTTGTCAGAGGGTGTATGTGCTTGCTGGAGAGAGGGAAAGTGAGAAAGCATATCCATGAGGGTGATCATGCTAAAAGTCTCTCCTCCATTTCTCCTTTCGGGGTGTTTGGGCACGGCAAGCACAGGTGCCTGGCATGTTCTTCAAGCTACTGGGTTCAAGATGCGAACCGCACAGTCAGCCATGTGGGATCCAGCTGCCTTAACCACCAAGTCACTGACAGTCCTAAATAAATTGCTTTTACACTGACAACTTGATTATGAGGTTTTTGTTGTAGGGCATGTCCACTTGCCAGAAAGAGACAGAGAGACCGAAAAAGAAATCACCCCCACCCCCAGGGGGATGGCTATGCCGCAATCTCTTCCCCTCCATTCTCCTCTTGGGATTTTGGGCATATATGCATACATGCCTGGTGTGAGTTAAAAGGTGCCAGAGCCAGGACTCAAACCACAGTCGACTGTGGGAATCCAGCAATGTAACTATTATGCCATCTGCTGATCCTGACAACTTGATTATATTAGAGGTCATACCCTCACTCCAAATATTGGGTCATCAGAAAAATCATGATGTATTTTTCTGTATTTTTCTATGCAAAAATGCGGCATGACTTTTCTGACAACCCAGTACTTTCACTCCCTTTACAGCAGAGTTAGGAGATTCTCTAGGGATCTGGAGAATTTTGGGGCTCAATAAAGTTGAAATTGTATTAAAAATTTGGTGCGGGTTTTGGTGGGTCATGAAAGGACTCTATTCTGGGAGGAAAAGGAGTTTTTTCCTCTCAAGGGAAATGGCAGCAGCATCACTGAAGAATTTCTTGAATAATCAGAGAATCAGTGCCCAGGATTATAGGCTAAATAAAATTATTCTTGTTTATAAATTTTTTTTAGGAATGTTTTTGCTATAGGGTGCCTGTGCTTGCCAGAGAGATAGCGACAGAGACAGAGAGTGAGAAATCATCCCATAGAGGGATGGATGTTGTAATCTCTTTTCCTCCATTCTCCTCTCGGGATTTTGAGCATGCACGCACATGTGCGTGGTGTGAGTTTAAGCCACTGGATCCGGGACTTGAACCGGGTCGACTACATGGGAGTCCAGCAACGTAACCATTATACCATCTGCTAGTCCCTTTCTGTTCATAATTCTGAGAGACAGAGAGAAGGTGTTCTAAATTATTTCATACAAGGATTTTTCTTAGTTTAATTTTATTAAAAAATGTACTATCTAGTAACATTTCTTAAAAGGGTTATGTCATTTAACTTTATTGACTTATTTTTAGTTTGACCAGAGAGGGACACAGAGGGAAAGCAAGAAAGCTAGCAGTCTGGGGTTCGAACCATGTTGGATATAGTGGGAGTCTAGCACCCTCAACCACCACACCACCGGCTGGCCCAAGAGTGTCGGTATTTTAAAGTAAAGCATATGACACATCATTGAAATCCAGATGTGTAAGTAATTATGAGCTCATTAAAGGCATCATTTGCAATTCCTGGTATTTTTCTCTTAAGGTAGCACTAGGGTTCTCATGCTTGTGTGGTAGAAACAGTGTAACCCATTAAGAACACCAGCCCTTCAAATAAAAGCACAAACACTTTTATTTTTAACAGTAGTGTTTTGTTACAATTTAGTGAAACAACAAATAAATACATTCATTGGCCACAGCTATATTTTCACAACCAGTTTGAAACTGATTATATAGCTGAGTAACACTGTTAAACAATAAAAAAAGGCAGCTATACATAAAAAAGCCACTTGAGCTATAAATTACATCTTCCGTAAAACTACGAGCTATAATGATTGGGAAGAGTTTTGAAATGAATAGCCACCCAAATGAAATGATAAAAACAAGTACTGCTAATCACTGTAGAATTACACATTTAAGCAATGAAATTCACTTTTCTAATTAATGAACAACGAAAAAAGGAAGGTTTGAACTTGTCGTTGTGTGCTTCAGTGCAGAATGAACAGGGAATCGGTAGCCCTTCGATTTGATAAACAGCTCCTTTCAAGACCAAACTTAAAGTGCTCCTAGTGCTTTGGAATTTTTAAGCAAAAATTGGGCCAGAGTTTGTTCTTTGTCTTTGGTGATGTTGTGTGTGAGATGTGTTTAAGGAGACAAATACAAGAATTTAGGTACCCTCGTCAGGTATAATCTCAAATTTGTAACAGTTAACTAATGCAGCTGAAAGAAGTGAAAACATTTGAAAAGTGATCTTTGTTTATCTGATCAAACAGGACCATTATCTAGGGATGCCTCAAGAAAAATTTACTTGATCACCTTGAACCCCAAGGATTAACAAAGACAACACCAATATCTTCAGATAGCTCTAGATAATTAGGTATTATTAGCAAAATAAATAGTTGGCTTTCTGAAAAGAAATCTAACAACTGAAGTGATAATGAAAATATACTTTTATGTTGTCACGTTAATACCAAGGTTAACTTCTGTGGTATACATTTTTAAATAATTTAGTTACAGTGTGAGAACTTATTAGTAACAAGCCCAAAGTACCATTTATATAAGTGATAGCTTGCACTTCTGATGAAAGGTTATTTGTATCATAAAAGGCAATGTATTTGTTTGTGTACCAGCCACTCCAAAGATTAAAAGCATGAATAGTTTAATTTTTTCTTAGGGTTTCATTTACTGTTACACTTTCGAGAAGGTACTGCATCAGTTATTTAAAAGTTGAAAGATATTTTAAGAGGAGGAATAAAGCAACTTTCTAATCAAAACAGAAGACAGAAGAGGACAGTTGTGTTAGCTCCAGTTCTGAAGAAACAGGTCAGCAGACAGCTATGTTACTGGTTTTCAAGCATGTCGAGACAACTCCCCATTGTGGCCTGTTCCCTTGGCATCGTGAGGTATTCAGCATCTATTTCCTTCCACATAGACACTGGTAGAAAGTGCATTTTAAAATTCTGTATTATCATAGCTTACCATAGATTTCTTTTTAGATTTGGGATAGGGTATTCAAAATAGTTTAAATGTAATTCCAAAAGTATTCCAATATTGTTAACCTCTGGTTTTATAGTCACCTAGTTCATACATTTATGTAAGTTTGCTTATTTAGTCTAATGCTGAAATTAATTTGATTTAAATTTAATTTGGCTTTGCTCATATACAAGGTATAAAAGTGTGAAAACTAAAGGAGGAATTACACATTTTACAAAATATTGCACTTGAGTTCATTGCAATAATGTATCATGATTTAATGTACCTGAGGACAATCCTGATTCGACAGTTAAGATCAGCTCTATCTTGTTTTTAGCTAAGTCAAATGCCTTTGAAAACATATTAATGTTTTAACTTAGCATCGTGCATTTTATGGATTATTCTTAAACGCATCTGTAAACTTGTTTAGTCCCAAGAAGTCTCTACCAACATTTCCCTATGCAAAAATCACTATTGCTTTCTTGGAGAATCATGCTTAAACTACTACCTACATTTTAATTATACAAAATAATCACTTGATCAATTCTATTCGAAGTAGCCACACAATTTTCACTAGTATATTTTCCTTTTGAAAAAATTACTGTGGCTTTTCAAAGAACACTGCTGGTCATCACTGTAAAGGATTCCTGCTATCATTTGCTTAAAATGATTGTTTAAATAATTCTAGTTGGTATTTTAAAATCATGTTTAAAGGAATTGTCTTCAATGATTACGTATTTTTAGATTTTTAAGGAGAATGATACATTTTTATGCCTTAAACTGTGCACTGTTCACACTATAAAATTTTACTGGGTAAGAATTCCATATAGAGTACACCACTGAATATACACACTTTGATTTTCATAGGAAAACTGCCTTCAACTTGGTGTACTGTGATACAGTCTTCCAGAGAAGACTTTGAGGACTGCAGTGTACTCTCTCAGAAAAAAGACAAAAGTGCATATATGCATTTGATGTTCCAAAGTCGGGATGTTTGGAGGCCAGGTGCTTTAAGGTTGAAGCTCTCCTATCTCCTATTCCATAGTTTCCAGTTTATTTTACTATGAAGAGGTCAAAGTAATAGCTGTGCTCTCCGTCAAGCACAGCCACATTGTCAGATTTTGTTTTCAGTTGCAACAAATAATGGAATGTTTACATAGATGGACTTTAAACACGATGACTATACACATTCATGAAAAACAATCCAAGAATCACAACTTGGTAATCCTGTCAGTTTTGTGGTGTTACATATAAACTATGGTGATTGTTCAAATCTAAATTACTACAAGTAAAGAGCAAAGGAGCAGTATCTGTCATAGGTCCATTCAGGTGGGGAGTGACCGTGTAACTGTTGCTGCCACACCCAGTCATGGTGCCGTACCAGCCCAAGCTTTGAGAATTTGATAAACTGCAACGACAAGAAAAGAAAGAAGTCACAGTACTGTGATTGGATATAAGAAGTTACATAGGCATTTAAAAAATTTTCATTAAATTTTGTAATACAGTTAGTATCAAGTATGTACTTTTTAAAGAATTTTTCATTTAATTTAATACATTATTATTGTTACTTTAAAATTTTTCTATAGGGCAGAAGTGCTCATAAGCGAGAGACAGGAAGACAGGGAAAATGACACCAGGTGTGTGTGTGAGCATGCCCAAGGTCCTAAGAGGAGAATAGAGAAGAAGGGATTGCAGTGTGATCATCCTCCTGGGAGGTGATTTCTCACTTACTGTCTCTCTGTCTCTGTCTGGTAAGCACATATGGCCTACAGCAAAAATAAAAAAAAAAAAAGAAGAAAAGAAGAAAAAAAGAAAGTGAGAAAGTAAGCTGCTAGGTTCAGGACTCAAACCATGGTTGGCCATGTGAGAGTCTGTGCCTTTAACACCAAGCCACCTGCTGGCCCTATATCAAGTATTGGGTTGTCAGGAAAGTCATGATGCATTTTTGCATAGAAAAAAAAATATGTCATGACTTTCTTGACAACCTAACTTTTTTTCTCGAATAACAATGACTTTCTACAGAATTTAATGACTTATCTAATACCCTTGATTCTATGTCACATTACATTACGAAAGAATGAATATGTGCCATCCAAGACTAGTAGAACATGATTATCAATAATAGTAAAACCAATATAGTGTTTATTATGTGCTAGGCACTGTTCTAAAATATGCATATATATATATATATATACACACACACAGAACCATCTACTGATTAACTTCGACAACGATACTATGAGATAGGGTCTACTATTATCCTTATTAGCTAAAAAAAATTGTAGTTAGGTAATTTATCTAGAGAAAGGCAGGATTATAGAAAATGTTATATCGGGCTAAAAGCATTATGTAGGTGTGCATTTCAGTTTTATCTTTGCCCTGATACTACTCAGTTAATTAACAGTTAAGGGCTTGCAATGGTTTTGGAACAAGAAGAGCATGGGGAGATCTTCTGTGGCATCCATACTTCCCAAGTGTTTTACCTAGGGTTTCTCTGGATTTTGAAAAGCATCAAAAATATGGAAACAGATAATCACTATTATAGTATTTATTCCCTGCTTATCTCTCCAACCCTTCAATGCTAGCCAACAAGGGACTCTGAAATGAAATTTTTCTCTTTTTTTTTTAAAGAATTATTTTATTTAACTTTATTTATTTATTTAATTTTGACCAGAGAGGGACAGAGTGAGTGAGTGAGAGAGAGACAGAAAAAGGGAAAGTGAAGGGACCAGCAGTTAGCGTAATGGCTACGTTGCTGGACTCCCACGTAGTTGACCGCGGTTCAAGACCCAGATCTGGCGGCTTAAAACTCATGGCAGGGGCGTGTGCGTGCATGCCCAAGATCCCGAGAGGAGAATGGAAGAGAAGGGATTGCGGAGTGGCCATCCTCCCTGGGATGGTTTCTCGCTTTCTGTCTCTGTCTCACTCTGTCTTTCTGGCGAGTGCATGTGCCCTATAGCAAAAACCTCCCCCCCACCCCCCCCCAAAAAAAAGGAAGTGAGAAAGCAAGCTGCCAGGTCTGGGACTCTAACCGTTGATGTGGGAGTTCAGTTCCTTAGCCACTGCGCCACCTGCTGGCCCCCATATGGTAATTCTTTATAGTGCAGGTCTCACTATCTGTTGAAATGTCTGCTTTAAGCTTCAGTATTACAAGACCTTATTTATTGACATACCACCAAATACCTTTTGTGTTAAAAGCTCAGATTTGCCCTTTTCAAACTATTTCAGTACTAGTTCAGGCTAAGTGACTTTTGTTCCATCTACCTTCCTTCTCTTGAACTTCCCAGTCTTGGCAAGTCATCGTCACTATCATATCGTCTTGGATTGTCAAAAAAGTAAGCTCTGGAACTGTAACTGTGACTGTTTATCATGCCAGCCGTTGCCTGCGAACAAAGTATAAGAGAGCACATGAAGGTTTATGTTTCACTTAAGAAAGGAAGCTAGAATCTATGATGATTTTTAATCTTACATTTTGCCAAAGTAGAAAAGCAACATAAATGCTATCTGTAGTTTTTAAAAATAAGGAGAAGGAATTGGGTAATATTATGATAGCATACCAAATTCTGGTTTAATCTCTGTGCCCGGAAAAACAGTACCACTGACCACGCTGGCACGTGTTCCCACAGGAAGAGGACCATTCCAAATACTATATATTCTTCTCCACTTACATCTTCTACATGAGCCTGTAAACAGAAAGTGGCAGAGCAGTCTCTACACCTGTCTTATGTGTAAGCAGTCACTCTCCACAATTAACTTACTTCAGCCAGGTAAGTTAAATATATCAACCACAGAGACATAAACTAACATTTTCTCTTTTGTGTCTTCTCATATAACGACAACTTACCCTTTAAGGAACATAAATGTGCTTTGATGTTCAGTAGAATAAAAAACTGTTAAGTGTTTCAATGCATCAATTTATGAAATACATTTACGTTTTTCTTCACTTTTTCTTTTCACACTGTTAGACTGTAAATACGTGTCAAAGAGAGAGAATGAGCACCCTCCAAAGGGTCTGGTCACACCATGATCCCCTTCCATTGGTTTCTGGGCACATGCACCTGTGGCCCATGTGTTTTAGGCTGACCTGGCCAGGGATTAGACCCTCCATTGCCATGTGGGGGGTCAGCCTCTCTTGAGTAGCGCATTATCACTGCACCCCAGAGCTGGCCCTATAAAAATAACTTGAATATGTGGATATATAGTGAGTCCTCTCATGTTTAGGCCCTGTATGCTGAAGAGACTAAAGAGACTACTATTCCAGGTGTTCCACAGGCTAAACAGTAGCACCTTCCCTGCTTTACATACCTAGAGAAATGTAACTTGTTAAGTCACTCAGCTCAGCTGCTACTTAAAATATGCTTTTGGGTATTCTACAGATTGAATTTGTTACTGTTCTACTAGATGTTGAGGGAGGAAAACAGGGAAAGGAGTGAAGAGAACCTACTACTTGGAGCCACATGTGAAAATTCTTTCTTCTTAGAAATGTAAATGAGAAGTGGTATTCTAGGATGCCTTAAATTCGGTACAAAGTTAGATTACTATAAAGATAGGCCTTATAGTTATGTCTAGCTGTACTTTTAGGAAGAGGATGAAGAATGCTGGGGAGTTCAATATGCATATTTATAGTAGTGAGAATTACTATAGTAAATACCTGGACATCCAAGGAACTATGAATGCTCTCCCATTACCAGGACTAATAATGCCATATATATTTTCTTAATTGCCAGAAGGCACATGTGCCTGCCAGAGACAGACGAAGAGACAGGGAGCGTGAGATGGAGCAAACACCCCACCCCAATGGTCATGCCACAATCCCTTCTTTTCCATTTCTCAATCCTGTTAGCATTTTGGGGGCACACACACACGTGCCCAGTGTGTTTTTCAAGCTGCAGGGTCTGGGATTCAAACCATATCTGGAAGCTCATTTTAACCACTAGACTGTCGAGGTAGCACTGATAATGCCAGGTTTTTATGAAAGTCATTGAACAGCTAAAACTGAACTAAATTTTTTTTTTTTTTTGGACAGATTTTCACTGTAGGGCGTGTGCGCTCGCCAGACAGACAGAGAGAGACATAGAGAGAGAAAGCGAGAAATCACCCCCCAGGGGGGATGGTCATGCCACAATCCTTTCTCCTCCATTCTCCCCTCAGGATCTTGGGCATGCACGCACACGCGCCCGGTGTGAGTTTTAAGCCACCGGGTCCGGGACACGAACCGCGGTCGACTACATGGGAGTCCAGCGACATAGCCATTACGCTAACTGCTGGTTCCCAAACTGAACTAAATGTTTAACATTATATGTAGTTCTTGGGTAGGAGTTTACTTTTTTCCTAACAAATTAAAGTCATGCCCATATTCATTGGCTAACAACAGGCAATTAGTAGATTTAGAGATATTTAAATACCATCCTTTAAAAAAATAACAAAATAGGTTTATGACCAATAGGTTTATTTTCAAATGGAAAAGCACCTCATGTAAATGAGGATTTTCCAACATAGAGCTTTAAGTATGACCACTGATCGTAGACATTAATTCCACACAAGTGTTTATAAGTCAAACACTAAAATACCCTCTTAGTTAAAGCTACCTTACTTATTAAATTGTTAGACTGGCAATCTGTGGTAGGTACTTACCTTATCTGAAAGGTTATCCCAGCCATAATTAAATGGACTTTCTAATGTATCCTGAGATATGGTGATCACCACCAAATTATAACAAGCTCTGGAAGAGTAGAGAAGAATGACTACAGAGCCAACGACAACGGTCTGGCACAGAGACATACCCTAAAAGAAATAAGAACCATCATCCTGATATCCTGCGCATTTGTCACAACAAGCTGTTCACTCACATGCCTATGGTCACCTCTCCCAGTGCACTCCTACGAAGCACTGAGTGGGTACCTGTTGAAATACATTCATGATTATCTTGTTTTACAATTCCTATTCCTAGAACCTCTTATGTTTAATATGTATAAGTTCTTTGCCAACTGATCGAATGGCATCTGGAGGAAGAGTCTTCTTCTGCCAAGGTTACCTTAGTCCTTTAATACATGAACAAACAAGTTGGCAAAAGATCTGAACTTTAATTGATGCTAATGAGAGAGTTAGTTTAGTCATAATGAGGAAAGAATGGAAAACAGAGGCATTAGTCCACTTGATACACTTAATTTCTGATATAAAATTAGAATAGAAATACAGTTTCTCTGTTATTTATTTAATTCCACTAGATTCTATAAGAGAGTTGATGTTAGTCCTCTATTAATGCCATTATGTTGATGACAAAATGACACAGGCATACAAACATACTTTCAAGTCCATGGCATTTTAAGACTATGGTTTTCGGGGCCAGCAGGTGGCATAGTTGTTAAGGCCCTGGACTCCCACGTAGTTCACTGTGGTTCGCCTGGCAGCTTGAAACTCATGCCAGCTACGTGCCCAAAAATCCCAAGAGGGGAATGGAGGAGAAGGGATTGCAGTCTGGCCACCCCCAGGGGGGTGATTTCTTGCTTTCTGTCTCTCTGTTTCTTTGGCAAGTGCATGTGCCCCATTGCAAAAATCTTTAAAAAGAAAAAAAGAAAAAAGACTATGGCTTTCACTATTTCCCCAAATATAAAAACATCCTTATAAAATAGTGGTTTTCAACTGAAGTGTGTATAGTGGAGGGCCTCCTGCAAGGACTCTCTCTCTTTTTAAAATTATATTTACTTCCATGAGCAAGAGAGATACAGAATGTCAGAGAGGCAGAAATACAACACCTTCCATAGAGTCTTGGTGCCACAGTCCACCCATGGCCTCAGGCAGCCCCGGATCATGGGCCCACATGTGCCTAGCATACTCAGGGAAGTCTGTGGATACAAACTTGGAACCTTCCCATGTGAGTCGGCCTCACAGAGCACCATGTTCTACCACTGCCCCACCATCTAGCCCCCTTACAGGAGTTCTTAACCTGCAAAATATATTTTTATTGTTTTTAAGAGAGATTTTTGCTATAGGGCATGTGTGCTCACCAGAGACACAGAGAGACAGAGAAACTCGCACTCCCAGCATGAGTTTTAAGTCGCCAGGTCTGGGAATCGAACTGTGGTTGACTACATGGGAGTCCAGTGACGTAGCATTACACCATTGCTGGCCTCCTTGCAGTATATATTTCAATATGATCAGTTTCCTTTATAATCCTATATATTTTATCTTATGTATTAAAAACATTCTGAGAGATGCTGCCATTGCCAAAAAGAACCATCGCAACAAAACATCCAATATGGTGTTCTAGAAATGTGTATTTTGGTTGTCTCATTGATGAAGGGGCAATTATGGCATTTAGGTTTAGGGATGCTCGATGATCTGCGACTCACAAAAGAGTCCTCCCCATAGATGCATTGTCCTCTGATCTTTATAACTTTCAAATGTTCTGGATATTAATGAAGATGAAAACCTGTTTCTAATGATCTGAGCCAGGTCCTAACTCTGTTTTACATACAAACAAAATTTATGATTGTATAATTTAAATAGATGCCAAAACCTTTTCAGAAACACATGAAATATATAAATTGTGGGGAATTTGTCCTCTGTTTTGTTAAAAATTTAATCAAGGCTGTTCAAATATTTTAGAAAATGACACAGATAGCAATACGGCTTATGTAAGTGGCCAATTCCACACATCTGTAAAACTCTGCCTTTGTAGCTGCCCCATTCCCAGTGTCTATGTCTAGACACGAGCATCTGACTATTACATTACAGTTCACAATTTACATATTGAAATTTAATTGTTTTCCTTTTATTTCCTCTTTATATGATAATTAGGACAGTTACATTGAGTTTTATGTGAACAGGGAGATTAATCTATTAATTTTAGGATAGAAACAAGGTATTGGACAGGCTCCATGGCCTGGTGGTTAAGGCAGTCAATTTCAACATAGCCAACCTCATAGTTTGAGTCCTGGACTCCGGTGGCTTGAGAAACACACCAGGCACATGTGCATACATGTCTCAAATCCCAGCAGGATGGAGAAGGAGGAGAAGGGATTGCTGTGTGACATTCTCCCATGGGGGGGCTTTCTCTCTCTCCCTCTCTGTCTTTCTCTGACAAGTGCATGCACCCTCTAGCAAAAGTTAGAAAAAAAGGAAAAGAAACAGGTTCTTAAAAATGTTAATTGGGTAGACTGGGTCTAGCAGAGTTGGAACCATTATTATAACTGATGTTCATCTAAGAACAACGCATTTTAAAGGGCCATACAAAGAAAGAACTAAAAGATAAGATGCTGCTGTTGAGATAGTAATAGAATATTGTCTGTGTTAGCCTACTACCACAACAAAAAGTATGTGAAAATAAATAAAACCCTGGCAAGATTTAAAAAGAAAAAAACAAAAAAAACCAAGTCCAGCTATGGTGGCAAACACTGGAGGGCACTGCTGAGCAGTGGCTGGGTGGCAACAGAGACCTGGGTTTAGTTTCAGCCAGATCCAAAGCAGACTAGGTGCCATGGTGCACCCCTGTGTACTGGCTGACTGGGACTCTGGGCAGGAGGACCTCTTTTCAGTGAGATCCTGTCAAAAATACCTGTCTTAGGCAAGCAGGAGGCCTGGTGGGTAAGTTGGTGGGATCCTGCATGGCTGACTGTGTATGCAGTTTGAGTCCCAGAACGGTTGCTTGACAAACCAGGTACTGTGTGTATGCCTGATTCCGGAAAGGAGGGCGGGATGGAGGAAGACTGCAGTGTGACCTTGCCCCATGGGGGCTGGGGGTGCTTTCTTGCTTTCCCTTTTGAGTGAGTGCACACGATCCCTGGCAATTAAAAAAAAAGACAAAAAAGAGATCTCTCTTGCTTTCACTTCTTTGTCTCCTCCCTCTTCTATGTGCTGTCTCACTCTCTCACCAATAAATAAATAAATAAAGCTAAAATTTTCTATCATATGCATTTTTATTTTGGTGAATTAGAAAAATATTGTCAATAAAAAAGCTAATCTTACATTAATCCATTTCCAATTTAAAAAGTTTTGTATTGTTGGGGTCAGCAGGTGGCATAGTGGTTAATGGCTCCGTACTCCCACATGGCCAACTGAGGTTTGAGTCTCACACCTGGCTGCTTGCTTTCTTCCTTTCCCTCCCACCC